TGCGAAACATCAGGAAAAGTTTGAGACTTCGAAATTGACTGTGAAACCTCAGAAACAGACTGGGATTCAGCGTTCGAGACATTGGATTTCGAGGTAGACTGGAAAACCGGTTTATCACTATGCAGAAGGGTATGGTGTCTACCCTTGCATTTAGAACACGTATATGACGATGTACACGAATTACTTAAATGACCCACTTTCAAACAATTAAAACAAGCTTTGATCTCTCTTACCTTGGCTTGCCGTTGCACGACGGTCATCGCTCGGAAGATCTCGCACTTGAAGTTCGGGTGGGCTCCAGTTCCACACATGTCACAAGACTCCTTTCCGGTGACAGCAAAAGTTTTGGTAGAGGTGCTCTTCACTTGATTCTTGCTTGGTACAGATGGCTTCGTAACGGGCGGCTTCACGATCGCATCCTCGCACCGCTCCAGGATTGCGCAGCGCTTCTTTAGGAACTCCATCGTGTCCTTGTACGTGGGAATTTGCTTGTGGGGAACGGTTGATTCCCATTCCATCCGGGTTTTGGCATCCAGAGCTGTTGCCAAGAGGTTGACAACCAAACGCTCCGACATACCGTTCATCACTTCCTCCATGAGCTTCAATCCATCGATGTGCCGGGATACTTCGTAGACTAATTCCCGAAGATCCTTGGCACTTGTTCGGTTCATTTTCTTCAGGCTAAGCAGCCCCAGGATGTGTGTGTCTACGATGAGCCGCTTGTTTTCAAAACGTTCTTCCAGCAGCTCCCATGCTCCGGCATAATTATTCTCGTTCAAGGTGCAGACGTCGATGATTCCAGCGGCATTACCAATCAACGCTTTATCAAGGTGGTAAAGTTTGATGGCGTCGGAATCGGTGGATGTTCTCATGACGTCGAGAAACATGGCCTTGAAACGTGGCCAGTTCTCGGGTTTCCCATCGAAGGTGGGAATGGGAGCCTTGAGTGGTTGCTGCTGTACGATGATGCGAGGAATCCCTTCTCGCTGGGACGATGGCATCGGACGAAGTTGCGGCTCGGTCATCGACTGGATTAATGTTTCGACCAACATGCAAGCCTCGTTGTGTTGGTCTTCGAATAGCATGTACGTTTCATCCTGGTCCACTAGTTTTTCGGCGGGAGTCAAAGCGACGATTTGCCGATGAATATCACAATACTCCTGGTAGTGCGTTTCCAAATTGCGTGTGAAGACTTTCAGCTGCACCATACTCAATTGCCTTGCTCCAGCTCCAGATGCTTCTTCAACGGCCTTCCGGATCCTCGTCACTTTGGCCTTCGCTTGCCCACGAAGGTGAACAAGAGTCTTCACTTCAGCCATCTTCTCCTTTTCGGTCTTCACAGGTGTGTGTTGAATTGGCATCAAGCACAGCGATCACCTGCACAACGGTAGGCAGGAACGGACAGGAATAAACACGTTCCACCACTTGCGCACGACGTAAGACGTTCGCGTACGTTTTGTTTTGCACACGCGACGACGAACAGGTTCGATTTCACTCGCGACTGTACTTTCGAAGAAACTTGCGGTTTTCCTTTTAGCCAAGCCACAAGAAAATTCTAAAACAAAACTCTGCGAGCTTTTCGTGAGGTAGCAGGAAATCCGATCGGCTGATCACAGCGACGAAAGGCAGGAACTTTTCGACAATCGTCAGATTGTCGAAACGCTGTTGCGGTTGCAACAGAAACGGATGGGATCACACGGATCCGGTTCGGCAGGACCAAAAATGTCCGATCACGGACACTGGAGATGGTGTGGCAATCCTCGGCTCGGAGGATTCCAGCTGATTTGGCCAATTCCCCCTGTGGGAATGCCAACAGGAACACAACGAAAAGCTCGACTGAAATTCAACTCAACTCATAGCCCTGAAAAGGACTGTTTTGGCTTCGGCTTGTCCAAAGAGGAAAAACGAGAATGAATTAAAACTTTCAACGGCGCTATATTTCGGTGTTTGCTTTACAAAGCTTGTGGACTGTATGATGGCGACGCGCAAAATGCGTCGCTTTAAATATGTTTGGCTTTCTTCTTTTTGATGTTGTATTCATTGATTTCTCCTTCATTCATAACCAATCAGCACTCGCTGCACGCTCGTTGGTTTGTGGTCGGTCGGTCGCTCGTCGCTCGGTCGGTGCTGCTGCTTGCATGCTCGTGCCAAGCCAGCGGCAGCGTAAGGAAATGATCAAAGCTTGTTTTCAGGGTCTTGATACAAATTAAACATGTAGCACATTAGGGTTAGTTTCGGAAACCGATTACCCGCGGTCGCCTCGGGGTTAGTAGAGTTTTAAAGGATTGGGTAAGTGGTTAGGGCGATTACACAAAACAACTACTACTACTACTTCTACAACACATTACGTTCGCTTCAATCGCGAACAAGATCTCTGACCTTCTCTGATTATGTCTGGACTTCTCTGAATTTCAGGGAATTTCTATTAAGTTCCGGCAATTTACCTGAAGTTATTGAAACTTCCCCTACGACCCCACGTGTCACGGGATGGTTGAATGTTTGTTAGTAGATAAATAAGCCAAATATGGCCATAGGATACGTTTGGTAACCGTTTTTGGCAATTTATCAAAGTTAAAAAAAAAACTTCCAAGTGGGTGGGATCTGAGACTGAACTCATGACTTTCTGTCATGACAGTCATATTGTCGCATGAGAAATAATATAGACTCTTAAATACTCTCAACCACAATCAAAATCATATTATGAAGTCCTTCGCCTTTATCCGGTAATTCATCAGCACTGTATAAGCATATTTTTGTTAATGATTGGCATCATATTTTATCAGTTCATGGCTAATGCAACTACAGCGCAAAACCGTTGTTTGCGGACTGAGTTTTAGCCGGTATTCATGTTCCTAGATTCCTTGATAGCAGGTTTTTGGTAATAATGATACCATTTGCGGTCAGTATTCTTACAAACAAACAGCTGACTTTTCAATAATCAACCCCGTAGTTTTTGCTATTACTGAAAACTCAGTAAATCGTAGAATCTCTGAACTGTCGAAAATGGCCGTTTCAGTCAATAAAGAATTGCTGCCTTTTTCAGTAATTTATTTGTTTGAATAGCTGAGTTTTTCAGTATTTTTAGTTTTTTGATGAAAAAGTTCGTAATTTCATCAAATACGTGTTTGTTTCTGTTAATCAATGTTTTGTTTGGGTTCATTCAATTAACATAGTTCGAATTTATAAAGATTTTTATTTGGAGACTGAGTTGTACATGCTTAATGGCGGAAAAGCAGTGATGCTGTTTTAACTAGTCCAGGTGGGTTGGCCGGTTGGTGGCTCTTTTGATGTGCCGGATTGCGTACCTTATACTGGAGCTCTATAACGGGTAATTTTAGTGAAAGTTCATTCTTCAAACTAAGTCGAACATCTGGAAGTTAATGCAGGACTGCAGAAACTTCCAAATTTCGTGGCAGTTTCTACACCCTTGTGTAGATGTTTCACTGATTATGACTTCAAATGCGTGAGGTGGAATGGAAGAGGAGGTCTTCTGGAAGAATATAAGACTTTCAAATTTATTGTCAGGAGCAGCAATATTGAAATTTAGTTTGCTGACTGCTCCAGTAAAACATAACGAATACTGAAAACTCGGTAATCTATTTTACTGGGTTTTAGTCATTCTCCGCAAAGCTGTTATTTTATAGTAACGGTAACCAGGATATTAGTTTTATTTAGAATAGCTGAATCTTCGCTAATTTGTGTGATTTACAGCTCGTAAAAAATACCGAACAGGGAAACCGTGATTAAATGTGTACCGTAAACCGGGGGCAATTGATCACGATTTTCAGTAATATATGAATATTTTCATTGCTTGCAAGCAAATAAAAAAAAAGGAATTTTTTAAACTACATGTAGTTAAAAAAAATATTTTTTTTTATTTGTTTAATTATGTACGTAAGATTTATTTTGAATGATTATTGTTCGAAAATTTATAAATACTGCTTTGGGGTGAAATTGAACAAGAGTTTTTTTTATTGATTTTCATGACTTGTTCCAAAAGTTGTTGCACTTATTTTATTATCGCTTTGGCTTAAACGCTGTACAGATTGGAGAGTTATAACATGTTATAACGATTGTCAAATAATTGCAACACAGAAACCATAGAAACATGTAATAACTCTGTAGTCTGAACGTACTATTACTGTATGTCCTCAGAATGTGAGTTTATGTAATTACAGCTCATAAATATAATTCATATGTTTGAAAAATATGTTTATTATCAACTGTATATGCGATTTTGAAACAAACTTATTGAGAAATATCGGTAAAACGGGCCTCCCTTAGCTCAGTCGGTAAAGGCACAGCTACAAAGCAATACCATGCTGGAGGTGGCTGGGTTCGATTCCCGGTCCGGTCTAGAAATTTTTCGGGTTGGGAAATTTCTCGACTTCCCTGAGCATAGAGTATGATTGTACTTGCCAAACAATTATACTAATGCAAAAATGGTACCAGGCATCGAAAGCTCTCAATTAATAACTGTAAAACGTTCCTTTGAATCACCTTGCAATATTAAATCTTCTAAAAAGCACATATTTTCCACAGTTTGTCCGATCATTTTCACCCCAGTGATAAATTTTCCTCCGGTTTACGGTACTACCAAAGATAATACAGCTAGGAATTGGAAAAATGAATACCGACTAAAACAACATCCGCAAACAGCGGTCTCTCTGTGTAATGCTGCCTTGTCTATAAATACAATACATATTGTTGGCTTTGCATCAGACGATTGTGATGATGACTAACTATTCAGCCGTTACTTAAGCCTCCTCCTCTTTACGGACTCTTATAATCACTGCCCATAAAACCCCACAGGGAGAGGAACTTGACAAAATGCACTTGACGCGAACCGATCGAAGTGATGACCGAGAAAGAGCATCGTCGTTAAAAGCCAACTTTACGATTATGTCATCTCACAGTTAGTGCTCAATATAAATGGTGCATAAACGTGCACCGGTCGGTTTTAGAGTATGTAGGTACCAAGAACCATCAAGTTCACTTACCGTCGACCTGGGTTAGACAGCTGGTATACGTCGGGGGACACTCGAGCACGTATTTGTCCAGTTCGTCTAGATCTCGCTCAAAGTCCTCACAGGTGGTCACAATATTTGGCAAGCTGCCGACCGGTCGAGGATGATGCGAGGAAGACATATCGTCCGCTGCCTGAGACCGAGCTAACCGGAAGGGTGTATCAGCCCCTTCGCCGCAGACGTAACACCGCCGGGGCTGTGCCGTTGCCAGTGAGGAACCTGCCAGTGCTGAAATGGGATTGAGAGAGAGAGAGAGAGAGAGAAATGTGACAATTGTAACTGGGGATAATTAGAATAATTAGAACGAGATTGTTGGTGGTACATTGGGAAAGGGACATGTATGTGATTGCTAATGGTTTTATGTGTGCTATAAAACGTCGGTGACAATTAGACAATTATTTTGAAGTCACGCTTCGAAAGGAAAACTAGGTAAAATTGGGTGGAAATAGTACAATAAAAAAAATATCAGTTCCCAAATAAACACAGGTTCAATGCCAATGCTGGAGGACTGTTGGGGCACTGCCAAACCGATGGAATATAGACAAAATCGGAAAAAACAAAACGGAACGAGAAATTGGCCGGATGGAGATTTTTAATTAATTTATTGTTCGAAGCAGACGGTTGTCTGTTATAATACGAAAAGCCAATTTATGTTATGACTGGCTCCTCTCGAACATAATTCACGTGATTGATGAGCCTGACTGTCAGCAGAGTGTTGATTGGTGGCGTGAGCTTAAAGACCGAAGAGAGTTGTATGAATTTTTGGAAGCTAAAATATGTTCACACAAAGCCAAAGCCCATCACTCGCTCATGAATGCTTAATTCATCGGACAGGGTTAGTTTTCTTTCTGATGTCGGAATGATCGGATGACAATTGCCTCGGCCAGCAAAAGTCGCATGTAGATTAGACTTTTGTGTTCACTTTTCCGAAATGGTCTCGGATTCAACCAGCAATCATGATGGACATTCAAACTAAGTCCTAGTTCCTACCCATTTGATATGGGTCCTATCCATCACAAAACAACCAATTGGTCCATATGTTTAAACCATCACATGGATGTAGGTGAATGGTTTGGTCGAATTTTCCCACTGTGTTTGGGGAACAGCTTTGGTTAATAACAACAGCTGCAGCAGTAAATGGTTCAAATCTGAATTCCCCCAGGCTCCCTGAACACGCCAATCCAAAGAAATGCTGGACAAAAATTGACAATAGGCAATGGAATTAATTTCCGTTCAGATTGAAACGACTCTCTGGGATTGCAATTGTGTGTCAGGTTACAAAACATTATTCCCAAGCAAAATTCACCAGTTACATGACACTGACGCCTCCGTACATCCGTATAAATATCTATAACAACAGTGGCGCCATCATTCGAAACTAGAGACAGGGTTCCATACTATGCGAAAAATCGGATTTTCTGCTTCTTGTGTCCCGTTTTGGGCTTTCCACCATCCGCTCAAAGCCAATGTGCCGACTGGTTGTCTTTTCCATTTCAATTTGATTTTGAACACGGTTGCGCACATTTTGTTGCAGACAGGCAACATTACCTAAGCACAGGACGACAGTGCAAAAGCTCTGTCCTCTGTTGACGCTGAAGGGGCGATGTGTACCATCAACACGTCAACTGTTTTGATGGGATTAAACTTTACATTTCACCGTAGCATATTGTAGACATCATCATCATCATCAAAAATAGCCTGGTGAGTAGTGTGGAAGGATGCTGTCTATGGCAGCGGTTTGTGAATGTGAGTGCATCTGAGAAAATTTCCTATGAGTACATACAGATATCAAGCTTACCCGTTGAGCAATATCGTCAAACGGTATGATGAGGTGAGTAGGAGGTCTTAAACTATTAAATATTAAATAACTTTACAATCTGCTAGTCTCCAACAATGCTGTCATGGCAAATTTAGAGCTGGTTACTCACTGATTTTTCAGCTGCCTGACCTTCTCCGTCTTTGGTCTTATTACGTCCCTACTGGGACTTTACGCCGGCTCTCAACTTAGTGTTCTTTGAGCACTTCCACAGTTGTTAATTGAGAACTTTCAAAGTCTGTACCATTTTTGTATCAGTATTATTAGGTTTGTTCCCGTACTTGCTTTTTTGCTTTTGCTGTAGGTTGCTGCAGGTTTCTGTATGTTGTTGTATGTTGCTGTAAGAATATAATATGATGTAGCAAGCACGGGAGCATACTTTTGCTTTTTGCTGTTCAGAATCTTACAGAAAAGCAAGTACGGGAACAGACCCATTGTGTGGCAAGTATGACAAGGCTCGACTTAGTGGTTACCATTTCAGCTTACCGAGCAGAATGTCAGGAGTTCAATCCCAGACCCGTCTCTTTCCTTGTATTTGACACTATGATTAGTTTTCTATCCCAATTAGATTTAAATAAATAAATCTACTTTACCCATTGCATCACGTACTAGGGGATCGTCTAGATGCACACGCACAGCTCAAAAAACTGTTGTGCAATGCATTAAAAATAGCGAATTCGTTTATTATTCAGTTCCAACTTGGATCGGGTATCAAAATTGGGTCTGTTTTTTTCTGACTAACGTCAGTTTGATCGTTTGTTTTTAAAACGTACCTCACGTCGAACTGACAAAAAGTTGGTTTCGCACTGATCTGAGCAAGAGCGGAAAGAGCACTCAATAATTTTAGAGGCAAGCAATGTGGGTGGCATTGCACAGAAACAGCACAAAGAGAGCTCAAAATTAGCACGAGCTCATTTTATTATAAACAGTTCCAAATCCAATGTAAACAAGAACAACATTTTGAATGTCAGTACCGTATCATGGAACAATATTATACTTCACTTCTACTTTACTTTTCTACATTGATATGTTTTGGAATATTAGCACATTCTGCATGAGTGCAATTTTTTCATTAGCACGCTCATAGCGTTAGCTCATTGCACGTCTCTTTATTTTTGACGTGCAAACACACAGATGTGTTTACTTGCCTGTGCGTTGTGCTGTTCCCTATCCTTGTCACTTACCACAGTGAATCCAGATCAAAAATAGCCTGACCCACACTAAAACAACTTTCCTTCCAATGACAATCGTAGATACGCAATGGTAAGCCATCAAAGTGGTTCTCTGTGCAATTGCACTTGTTCTAATTATCTTAATAGAGATTAAAAAAAACTTGTTCTGATCAGTAACGGAGTAGCAACTACGATATCCACGGTTTGTTAAAAAAAGGGCAAGGCAAGTACAATCTTACTCTTGCCCAGGGAGGTCGAGAACCCTTTCATCCCGAAAAAAAAAACCCTGACCGGAAATCGAACCCAGCCGCCTCCAGCATGGTCTTGCATTATAGTTGCGCCTCTCCGACTGAGCTAAGGGATGCCCCAACCATCTCAAACGACGAGACTACGCTAGAGCTTTGTTTGTTGCTAAGCTGCTACTTGCTGCCAGCAGTGTTCCTAAGATCGAGAGAAGTTTTAAGACTTTGTTCTTGGAGAACGACCTACGGGCATAATGAGCCGGATCAAGCTATGTGACGGGAATTCAACTTTAGGTATCATTTATTTTATTTTTCTCATTCTGCTAATATTTATAAAAGTTATTTGAAAATCTTCAACTTGTCTGCGTACGATGTATTTTGTTTGTCGACTGTTTAGGATTAGTTAAGTTTTATTCGTGTAGACTTCTTGTCAGATGATGATAAATAAATTAATTAATTTAGCTTTATTTAGGAATGATAAATAAATTCACGCGCCCATTTTAACGCTTCGAACACGATGCCTCCGGTAAAATGTGTTACGGAAAATTGGCAATGTTTGAAAAAGCATGGCTAAGTAATTTATCAATAGATTTAAAACCTATCGATTCCGAATAAATCTTTAAAGTATGCAGTTTCAAATGGCACAAATCTATTTGAAATTCACAATTTCACAATTTTTTCAGTTCATCTGTTTTTTTTCCCTTGATTTGTTTTTCGTCAATCTTGTTTTCCGTACTGAGACTTCGATATGGTGAATTTTCACTTAAGTTTGACTGATAGAATGTTTTCAAATAAATCTGCTATTTCACCTGAATTATTATGTTTGAAAATCGGACGAGCATCAACAGAGGACATAAGACATTTTAATTTATTTTCGAAGTGTCAAATTTAATTGAAAATTTACCAAATGAATAGAAGACAGCCTAAGCACCAATGCTACCGACGCCAGGGAGGCAGCAACCATATTTGGACCCTACCTATCGACCCATCAACTCATATACCGGGGACCAACAGCTTAACTTCCTTTCCGAAGGAATGCGTTGATCAGAGATTTTATGCCTCAGAAAATCTCGACGGCGCCGACTGGAATTGAACCCAAGGCCCTTTGGAGTGAGTGGCAATCACGCTTACCACTACACCACCGGTGCCGCTAGGGCTTCTTTAGAGGAAGAGGTTCTAAGGAAGACAATGTTAGCTTCCCACCCCGAGTTCAGATTAACGGTGACGAAATCGAGGTCGTCGAAGAGTTCGTGTATTTGGGCTCATTGGTGACCGCCAAAAATGATACCAGCAGAGAAATTCAAAGACGCATTAAGGCAGATAATCGTTCTTACTTTGGACTCCGGAGGACGCCGGTCGAATAAAATTCGCTGCACCACGAAGTTGACTATCTACAAGACGCTGATTGGCCTATGCTCGTGGCGTTGGTCACCCTTGGTGTTTTCTAACGGAAGGTGTTGCGGATCATCTACGGTGGAGTGCAGATGGATGAAGGAACGTGGAGGAGGCAAATGAACCACGTAATGCACCAGCTGCTGGGAGCACCATCTATCGTCCACACTGCAAAAATTGGACGGCTACGGTGGGCTGGGGACATCGTAAGAAAACCGGACGATGACCCAGTTCTCGAAAGGGACCCAATTATAACAAGAAGAAGAGGCGCACAGCGGGCAAGATGAATCGACCAGGTAGAAGGTGACCGGCGGACATATGGCCTCGGTTTGAGTAGAGAAGAGACGACTACTTTGGACAGACCTTAGCCTGATTGGTAATTTAAGTAGACTAGACTGATGCAAAATTTGAATTTTTCGCTTCACAGTGGTCAAACCGTTCCAAATCCGGTTCTAATCATCCACCCAAAATTTGAACTCATTTAGTTAAAAACAGACTGTCATTTCATTTGAAGTTTATATGGGAATTACTATGGGAAAAATAAACATTTTGTACATATATTTCTAACAATTCACCATATTTATATTCAACAAATTTTGATAGATGTAATAATAAAATTGATTTTATTTTTGGTTTGTGCTATAAGCTAGTGCGCACTAACTGAAAATGCTTGTCAAAGAGCAGCCACGTGAAACTGCCAAAGTACAGCCAGGGTCGTCAGCATCAACAATTTTATGATCGGTGAATATTCACTCTTTACGAAGATTATTCATTGATCATAAAATTATGCCTCTCTAACAGTGGAATTGACAGTTTTCATGTGTCAATCACATACTTTACAATCTCTTATTGTAACTTGCAAGTCCAAAATATCCTCATAAAATCTAATGCTTTCATAATTCCGAAAAACTATTTTTTTATAGCATATGAATTGCCGCAACCCTGTTTTAGGTATATCAAGGTATGTTTTGATGGATGTTTTATTGTATTACATAAAGTACAAAATCACTTTTGAACGTGCGAGAGGTGCGAAATATAAAAAGTTACAGTTTTGGTAAAATATTATGTATGCTCGACCCGGGCGCAAAACAAAATACGTTTAGAAAAATATGACATACGCTTGATACGGTTCGGTAAACATTGTTCACTGCTTTCGGGGACGACATTTCATTTGAATAGCAGCTTGTACCCGCACTGAAGGATTGTACGTCTTATTGTTTTCCTTTGATGTAAGGAGCACGGTGGTCTTAGAGCGACCGTTTTTACTTACGGAGCGGAAGAAAGTGGGTTAGAACCGAAACCCCTTCTGTTATTGAGTATATACGCTCCCATAATTTGCTTACCGTGTTTTTTTAAAGATCGCATCACTTTCCAAAGTGAATTCAGATCTAATTCCCCCTTCCCACTGTTAGTCCTTCTGGTGACAACCATGGAGATGCAGAGGTATATTCGATCAATGAGGTACAGAGAGAGGTGAAGCAGATCGTGAAATATGGTTGCATTAGTAATCCAAAAAATCAACCTAAACGCAAGTAGTGACGTCACTAATTGCATGTATCATACAGGGGTTTTACTCACACAACTTAACCGACTGCTCCACCTCGGTAATCCAGCTAATTGATATTCGATCACTAGCCACAACAGGTGTCGCGTCGAACTAACAATCTTTTCTGATACTGATACAGCGGAGTTTGCACACTGAGAAGTGATTGCTAATCCCAAGCCCCATTCATATGGTTCATTGTGAAAATTTCACTGGATCTGCTCTATTATGGAATAGCAACTACAAATTGTATGGTCATCAATTTTCATGCTCATAAATTCAAAAGAGACTATATGCGAATATTTTGATGCTGGATAAGAGGGAAATAATCTTATTTATTCTCAAAACGTTGACCTAGGGGAAATGGATGTAATGTCGGCCTAAATGCCCCTAATTTGGGCCCATACATCAATTCAGTAATCGACAAAATTTTCAATAGCGACCAAAAATATACCGTCCCAATGACGCGTTCGTCTAGATAAAATTGATAAATAGCAGCTTTTTGGCGATGGGCCCAATCTTAGCTCCATAGGTCAACATTAGAACAATTTTTTCTATTTGCCTGAAAAGCTGATAAATAGAGAGATTTTGTTGAAAAATACTCCATAATTTTGAATTCCTTGTCCCTATCTGATACAGTAGGGTAGAGCGCTACTTCGTCGTAATCGCCCATTTCCGTTCTATCGATTAGAAAAGATCAATAATGTCACTGCTTTCACCATGAACAAATCAATAATAGGTTTGTTCCGATGCGTTAGTTCATTAGCTACAACATAAATCCTGTTAGAGCGAATTGTATGAATATTTACGCTCATTGTTCTCAAAACAAAAGAAGCGCTCCTAGCGAATCCCCTTTTCTACGTTTATCCGTAGGACGAAGGAAATCAAATGGCGTTTCAATGCGTTAGGACGGAATTGAAACTCGTAGAACGAATTTAGAATCAAGAAGCAGTATTATATTTTAAACAATATCCCAACAATTTGTGACTCTTTATCAAATCCAACGGTACGTATGGAAAGGTGAATAAATTTAGAAGTCAGCTTTGACAGAAATATTCCATATTTCGCGCAAACTCGTTCAGAAAA